TTTATTTGAGAGAGAATGAGATAAGAGAGAGAGAGAGCATGAGAGGGGGGAGGGTCAGAGGGAGAAGCAGACTCCCTGCTGAGCAAGGAGCCCGATGCGGGACTCGATCCTGGGACTCCAAGATCATGACCTGAGCCGAAGGCAGTCGCTTAACCAACTGAGCCACCCAGGTGCCCCCAGCAGGGGATATTAAGGACAGATCTGGGGAGCTCCAGCTGCAGCATGACCAGTGGGTCAGAGAGGGCAAGCCTGGAGGCAGGAAGGCTGGTCAGGGAGCTGGTGCAGCCACCTTGGGTGAGGTGGAGAGCTGCGCTGGTTAAGGGCGGAAGTGACCAACGGGCAAAAACAGGAACCACCCAGATATCTGACAGGCCACACATCGGGAGGCAGCAGGGGCGCAATTGGGCTCCCAGTGCCCGAGGCCCCATCCTCCCAGGCTCCCCTGCCCTGCCTCACCTGACCCGGCCCTCCTCCAACTGGCGAAGGTGGGCATCTCGCTTCAGGACGTCGGCAATGGCCTCCTGCTCCTCGTCTGTCAGGAAGCTGAGGTCCAACAATCCATCAGCCTCAGGCTGTGGCTCGTGCGCCATGAGGAGGCCGGGCAGGGCCCGGAGCCCCACTTGAGATGGGTGGCCCCTCTGGGGCATCAGCTGGGGCAGTGCCCCAGCTGGGCACACATGTCGACCTGGGGGCGATCAAGGGGGCAGGTCAAGCCCTGCCCAAATACAGGGCACATCCTGGAGCTGGCTGCTCTTTTCTGCCCAAATATATGCCCAGGTGGTGGGCACCGTACGACTCCAGGAAGGCTGAGCTCAAGGTGGCATGAGATACACCCATGGACCCATGGACCCGCACACACACTGGCTCACGGACATACGGACACACTTGAAGATGTGCACCCACAGTGAGATGGCCACCTGATCACATGGGTGCACCAATACCTACAGAGATAGACGCATGCGCACCCATCCCCCACCAAGGACCCTATGCGGTCTTAGTCCCAGACCCATGCCCACACCAGGGGATGTGCCTGACATATTCTGAAACCTGCACACGAGGCCCCACAGAATGTATAACTCGGGGCAAAAACATGACCCGAGATACACACAAATCACACTGACTTTTGCACGCACATTGCCCCTCCACCAACTGGATTGTGAGCTCCCTGAAGACAGGGACAGGACCTCACCCCAAAAGCCCATATGTTGCCCACAACAGACAGTTGGTTGAAGTTGAATTGAATGCAGACATATCCCTGTACACACATGGGGAAGGCACACACACACACACACACACGCCCAGACACACAGGCACACATACCTATCTGCTCACCGCCCCCTCCCTGGGAACCTCCCAATATGGGTTCCCTCCCTCCACCCTTCACCTCCACCCTGCCCTGGCCCATTTGGCCTTCCTGTCTGAGGCAACCTCCTCCCCGGCCCACACCCCCGCTTCCTCCCCGCTGAGGTAACCACTGTACCCACTCTCGCTGAGGCCTCCAGCCAGGGATGCCCCTGTTGCCAGCCCTGCCCTCTTGCCTGCAGCCCCTGGGCCCCTCCGCTCTGGCCACATGGATGCTCCCCCTTCCCCTGGCCCAGGACCTGGATCTGGCGGTGGAGGCCAAGCGCTGCAAAGTGGCTCAGGCTGCTCAGGTACCACGGTGACTCCGGAAGGAAAACATTTGCCCAGCTCCGAGGGGCATGTGGACGTGGCAAGGGGCCCGTGACTGAGCCGTGGCCAGAGCGGAGGCATGGCCTGAGCCCCCTGGGCGGTCTCTCCTCCCCTGCTGCCCCTCCCATCCCTTCCCAGGCCAGGTCCAGGCACCAGGCAGGCCTGAGATGGGAAGAGGGTTCTCTGGCAGGCGAGTCCTGGCTTGTGCCCGCTGCTGAGTCAGTGCCCAAGCCCGAGAGCGCCTTCTCCCTCTGCTGCCCCCGCAACCCGCGGGCTTGGGGTTGCTGTCTTTACAGAGTACCGTGTATAATCCTGTGTGAATGCCCGTGTGCCCCGTATTAGCAATACTTCCCGAACATCTGCTGCGTTCCAAGTGCTGGGTGCTGCACACGCACAGTGGGGGGCTCTTCTGTGGCCCGGGGTCCCCACTTGTGTGATGTTGTGCCCTTGCGAGTCTCAGTACGGCCCACAGCTCTGCACCCGGTGGAGTCTCTGAGGCTGTTTGTTTTGTGGGTGTGAATATCGTATCCCTGCCTGTGTGTCGGTGGCCCATGTCATGACATGACGCCGCGTGGGTGACTGTTGTCTGTGTTCAGTGACTTGCTGGGTGACAGCACGGTGTGGTATGTGCCCTGTGTCCTTCTTCCTCTGCTGGATGTGTGTCTGGGCTGTGTCGTGCTGTGTGCTCTGGGGCCCCGGGGACCCCGGGGGCGGCGTGTGTAGGAGTATAGCGGTGGAGGATGTCCTGCAGGTCCGCCTGGGCTGCGCTGTGGGCATCTGAGCCTAGGGTCCCCAGCAGCACCCCCTCCCTATAGTTTCTGTCCTTCTAGAGGCACAATCCAGTGTCCGGTCCTCCCCACTCCGGTTCAATACTATGGGACAGACCCATTGGTCAATATGTTCTAGTCCCAGACCCACTCCCCTCTCCCCCAACCCCCAAGGCCCCAGAGGGTACCCAGGATACCAGGTGGCAGTGTCTGCTCCTTGGGACACTGGCAGGGAACCCTGGCCCTGAGGTGTGTTACCTGTAGGGGTCCAGTATGGATCAGACACCTTCGCAGGGTGACCTGGGCTCTCCTGCACTCCTGGCAGCCGAGTTTCCGAGCTGAACTTGGGGAGCAGAGCAGAAAGGGACTAAGGCTGACTCAACCAGCAGCCCGGAGGAGCTGCCCCGAGAAGGAGGAAACACCTTCTGAGCAGGGCCTGATGCAAAACCGGGCCTGGACTCCTGGCACCCTGCGGGCACACCCAAGCCTCAGCTTTCAGAGAACCCGGAGCTGATTTGGTGGGTGGGAGACACCTGGGGCTTGGCCCCAGCTCCCCTGCAGACTTATTCTGTACCTCCTGTGAGCTGGGCAGGCACCAACCCCTCAGAGCCTCAGTGGCCTCATCTGTAGGATGGGCGGCTGCCCCACCAGGCCTGCTGAGTTGCTGATAGGAACTTGCTTTGAAAGCAAGTTTAGAAATCTTTCTAAGAAGCAGGGTCAAGGAAGGATTACAGACTTCAGTCAGACGACCCCAGTAGAGTTCCTCCTCTGCCACCGTGTGATCTTAAGCAGGTGTCTCAACCATGCTGAGCTGCGATTTCCTCCTATGCAAACTATGGGCGGAGGTGTGAAGAGCATACTCCAAGGGACCAGAAAGTGCCCGGCCAGCACAGAGAAGGTACCAGGTGGCCCCTCTCCAACAGTCCATTTTGACAACCACTGCCCGTCCCTGTCCACATGTGCCTCCCTGGCAGCGCTGGCCCCAGCCCAGCTGCGCTGTCCCCTAACTCTGTATCCTCCACCCCCAACCAAATCTCTTATTTCCAAGTTCCCACCGTTGTGAACACCCCCCGGCCGCCTGCTGCCTGCTGCCAGCACCCAGACTGCCCCCCTCCCGTCCCCAGCTGTCACCCATCGCTGCTGCTCCCCCACTGCCCAGGTGTCAGGACCGGCCCAACCTCTTCTTGAACCCTCCACCTCCCTGTCTCCTGGCCTCCATTCAGCCCCTCTAGTCCTGCCTATGCAAGGCTGTCAGAGGGGCCTTTCAGTGCCCTACTTTTATCCGTCATTCCTCAGCTCTGGAAGGTGCCGGCAGACACAGGGTGTCCCTCTGGCTCGTTCACAAAAGTGCTCCCAACCAGCCCAGCCTCCCTTAGACACTTTGACTAACTCTTGGGCCGTCCTACTCCTCAGCCTGACCCCCAGACCCCCGCGCCTGTAAGTGTGGCTCTGACGTCCTTGTCTCCCACATCCTTACCCAAAGACTCTGCTTCCGTTGGTGCTCCCCAGTCCCCAGTCGCAGGAGTGCTCTCCCCACTTGCCACCGCCCCTCCTCAGGCTCCCCTGCCTCCAGGCTGTCACTGCGCTTAGGTGAAGAGGCAGGGGCCTGGAGGCCAACAGGTCGGGCTTAAACTTCTGGCTCTGCCACATGGTCCCCCATGGACTTGGATCAGTGACAAACTCTGTAAGCCTCACCCTCTGCCTTTATAAAACAAGGGCAGCGACGGCAGCTATCTCCTGGGACTGCTGCTAGGAGTGTCCCCTGGCTTGCCTCCAGCATCCATTCTCCCTTCTCTTTGGTCACAGTAGCCAGTCCTTTGGAGAACAGCCCCTCCCTGCTTTACCCCTTGCGCTCCAGCCACAGGGTGGTTCTGAGGAAGTAGGCTACTGGGCTTGAACGTGGTTCCACTCTTCCTACCTCTGTGCCCTTGAACAAACCACTTTAGCCCTCTGTGCTCACTTCATCTGTAAAATGGGGACGACAGCACCAGCCTCACTGGGCTGTGGTGAGGATAAATGACACTTCATTACGAGGCCTAGCACACAGTAAGCATTCAGCCACCTCTTCATGTCCTGTTTCCCCAAGGCTAATTTAAAGTTCTGCTGGGCGGGAGCAGGCCTTACTACTTTTGTCTGTCCATCCTGCTGTGGTTGTCCTCCATACTGGAACTCCTTCTCCCCGCAAACGACCCTCCGATGGATCCCAATATGCTAAAGGGATTTTTGAAAATGGAATTGCTATGAAGAAGGGAGGGGGCTCCTCTGTCTTGCCCTGGAGAAACCCCAGCTCTGCAGGGTCTGGGATGAGCTGATAGACCCCTCCAGGGCCCTGGGGGCCAGCCGCTAGGGCTGTGCTCAAGGCAGCTGTCAGGATGAACACAAAAGACCCTCAGGATTCAGAGACCAAATCCTTTGCTAGTTCAACTAAAACGATACACGCCATAGAGCAAGGTTAGGAAAGACGTCACCAAGGAAGAGGCTTTGAAGCCAAGTCTTGGAAAGGAGGACTACTTTTTCAACAGGTGGAAAGCAAAGGACCAGAAACGAGCAAGTTCTGCCGTCTTGCTGGAGAGCAGGGCAGTGACCTGATTACTGGGGGTCAGCAAGAGAAACCTGGCAATATGACCGATGGATATGGCAGAGGCCAGGGGCTGGGGTGATCCTCTTGGCTATCCCAGGCTGTGCAGCCCTGGTTGAGGGGACAGGTCCAAGGTGCTGGTCTGCACAGCTCTACCTCCCAATGCTACTGCCAGTTCTTCCCAACAGGGAGTATGGGAGGGTTTCGTACTCACTTGCAGTGAGGAGAAGGCTCTGGGATGGTGGATCTGGAGGGGTGGGGAGCTCCCACGACCTGGGCCTGGGGCAGGAGGTACCTGAGGGAGGCAGACGTCCCTGTAAGCTCTGCCCGCGGTAGGCACTGGACGAGGACTCAACCATGGCCTTGGCAATCAGGGCCCCCGCCAGGGCAGCAAGAAGAAACGAGCTGAAGGGGCGAGGGGCCACTGAAAGGAGAAAACAAGGACAAGACACCGTCTGGAGTCAAACCCTTTATTGCCCTGCCCAGGGAGCCCCTCGCAAGGAATCTGCAGAGCAGGGGTGAGGGGCAGCACACGTCCTTCCCACAACTTGAAGTTAAGGGGGGCTGTGGCAGGTGAGAGGACACAGCTCCCCGACGGTGCTGGCTACTCTGATGGCCCCCGGCGTCCTGGACCCACGGGGTGCCGTCACCCGCGTGCCGGTGTGAGGAGCCCCAGCACCTGGGGCTGGAGCCAAGCCTGTTTACACTGCTCTGGTCTGCAGGGGGTCACTCTGGGCACGTCAGCATCACTCATCTCCCCAGACTGGCTGGGGGAGCCCCGGCCCGGCCCCCAACTGCAGGGGGAGATGGGCTCACGTGCTGGGGAGCCCAGGGAGAGGAGGAAGCGGGGGCTGCATGGACTGGAGGACACCAGGAGATGGGGCACAAACCGCCCCTAATGCAGCTTCGTGCAGACATCTGATCGGGGGCCCATCCAGCCCTACTAGAACATTCTAGAGGCTAGTGGTGAAGGGCCCAGGGCAGCTTAGTTTATGGAGACTTCTTAGTGTACTCCACCCACCCACCCTGGGACCAGAGCCCTGGCAGGCGAATGCGCTCCAAATCCAGCTCTGGCCCCTGGGCTGCCTTGTCCGGTGGTCCAGATGTGCTCCCCTTCCCTGCCGGGCACTGGGCTGAGGCAGAGGGAGCCCAGCAGGCAATGGCTGGGGCAGCACTACAGAGGGCAGCTAAGGCCTTTCCAACAGATGAACAAAGAGGGTGCCTCAAGGGCAGGGGTCACAAGCCTGGGAAGGAGGGGACAGGGAGCTTCTTAGTGACCTGTGAGACACAACAAGCAAACACCCCCGCCCCATGCTCATCTTCAGCCCTTGTTCCATCCCATCTAGCCCAGACCCCTGGGTCAAAACCAACAACCCATCCCTGCCTTTTGGGGTGAGAAGAAAGAATCTGGAACCAAAAGGGGTGGCGACTGCCTCCTCAGGAACCTGGTGGGTTCAGGGCCATGAGGCAGCCATCACCGAAGGTTGAAGACGAGGCTGACAGTCAGGATGATGCCCAGGAGGAGGACGAAGGGCAGCCAGGTCTTCACGAAGGCCCCGACACTGATAGAGAGGAGAGAGAGGAGTCTGAGTGGGAAGGGCCTGGTGAGTGGGGCGTGCTTCACAGAGCCCTGTCTGCCCACCGGCCCAGATGGGGCTGCTGCCCCTAAGGCAGCTCCTGGAACCACTCCCTCACCCCCACACTTGGTCAGTCAAGGGAATGGGCCCAGCCTGGCTCGACACCGACTATGCATGGCCACCAATTACAGTCCCGGGCAGGGGCCATTCCAGGTTCCTGGCAGACATCTGACACCTCACTAGGCAGGTACAAGAGATGTGTCCACCCTCTCCGGGTCTCAGTGCTCCATCTATAATCACCTCTCTCTGGGGGGTCTTCAGTCTCGGTGTGGAAGCCAGGCTGCCCTCTAATGAGGCCCACTGGGAGGGCAGGGTTCAGCAAGAGTTAGTGCAATGATGTGGCTGGAGCTGAGGGGTTGGGGGTCAGGGCTCCACCTCAGTCTCTCTGTGACCACACTTATGGTCTTCTCTGGGGACCTCTAAAGGACTTTTGGACTTAAAAAAAAAGACCCCTATAGTCTCTTTTTCAGAAGCTCTTAATGATGCATGCAGCTAGCGGGAAGCCTGGAAAGGCGGCCAAGTGGGACCAGGTGCGTGCCGGCTCCCAGGTGGGTGCATCACTCAACCTCTCTGAGCTCCCTTTACCTGAGAATTGGAATAATGCCTTTGACCTTACAGGTTGAGGCTGTGGCTTCAAAGGTCCCCCCAGGCCATCACTGAGGCCCCCCTGCCCAGAACCCTGCCTCTGATGAGGGAGGGTGGGAAGGAATCCTGTGGGGCAGTTACCTCCCCCTCCTCTGAGGGGCTCCGTGTTCACCTGACCTGAGCACAGGGCTCTGTGGGCTCACAGCCTCTCTGAGGAGCCAGAATCATAACCTCCATTTTCCCAAGGGCAGTCGCCGCTTAGAGAGGCCAAGGCAGGTGGCTGAGATCACATAGACCTGGGCTTGGACCCAGGTGGAGCCAGACTTCAGCACAGCCACCTTCCTCTCCACCAGGAACTCAGCTAGTTACTCTAGAACCTTCACGGCTCCAATCAGCATCTGCTTTGTCCCTGTTGGCTGCAGGACTCCACAAACAGCCCTGACGGGATCCTTGGGAGAGAGCGGCCCCAGGGGTGAGCGGCGGGTGGACGGCTCACCTGACGTACTTCCCATAGAGCAGGCAGAAGAAGCAGAGCGTCACCATGTTCCAGTTGGTGCTGTTGTTATAGCGCATCAGGTTCAAGGCCAACGCCACATGTGAGTGGCAGTTGTCACAGCAAAGACTGTGCTAGAGATGTGGGAAGGGCTGGGTCAGGCAGGGCTGTGGGGGACCTCCCAGCCCGGGTCCTGCTGTCAGGAGCAGCCCACCTACCATGCGGTGCTTGTACTCCTCAGAGGCGTCGTGCACAGCGGTGTCCCACGAGTTGGGCCCGCTAGCATACACCTGAGCAGGGTCCAGCTTCCAGTACCTGGGAGGAGAGAGGGGGTTCTGGTCACTCAGCCTCACAAATGTTCCTGACGCCTGCTCTGTGCAGGGTCCTGTGGGTGCAGAGGCTGCAGGGGTGAGGCAAGTCCAGGGCAAGAGCCACACAGTGGACACCGGGTACACGGTGTGACATGCCCAGTGCCCTGTGGACGCTGGGGAAGGTAGGGACTAACTCATTTGGGGGGTATGAGAGGCATTCTGGGGTGACATCTGCGTCTAGTGTGAAGGAAGAGGGATTGGCTGTGCACAGCAGAGGGCAGAGCACGAGCAGAGGGAGAGGCACACACCCGTGCAGCCTGCACCGGGAGTTAAGAGACTGGGCACTGCTGCAGGAGTCAGAGGGAGGGACAGAGTCAGGAGATGCAGGCGGGGCCGCGTGCTGGGGGACTTGAATGTCATCCTGAGTTTATTCACAAGCAGCATGCTCTCTGTCCCTCCCTCTCCCACTCGGGAGCCTGGGGTGAGTCGGAGAAGAGTCTGTGGAGGTAAAAGCTCACAGACCTCAAGCTGGGTGAGAGCAGCTGTGCCAGACAGCGGAGCGCCCTGAGGGGCTCCAGCCGGGAATGCTGGGAGGGCAGGGCGCCCTCTGGCTGCCCCGTGGGCAACGGCTTGGTGGAGGAACCTAGAGGCGGGGCCTGAACTGGGGCTGCGCAGGGGCTCCTGCCTGGAAACGGGTGCCCTTAAAACTGACCCCGAAAAGCAGCCTGGTGCAGACATCCAGCCCAGACATCCCTGGCCCACATTTCCACCTGCCTGTGGAAGTCAGCAGGGCTTGGGGAGCCAGTGCCCTGCTGTGCAGGCTACCAGCCCCTCCCTGGGGCCTGACTTAGCCGGGGCAGCCTCAGACCACAGGGGCTCTTCTAAGCATACTGATGACTGAGACACTGTCACCAGGCCCACAGCTGAATGGGCCCCCAAGACAGGAAAAATGAAGGGGTGCCTGGCTGGCTCAGTTAGTGGAGCATGCGACTCTTGATCTTGGGGGTTGTGAGTTCAAGTCCCATGTCGGTGTAGAGGTTATTTAAAAAAAAAGAAAAAAAGAAAATGAAGACCAAAAATTCTAAACACCCAAACATAGCAATAGGTGCCAGAGGGCCTGACTACTTTTATTCTAAGCAGAACTTTCCAACCGAGTTCCAAGCAGTGCCTCCTTTACATCTTAAACGACTTGTTCACTCCCAAGGGGCAGAAGAATCTAGATTTTGGAATGAGACACCTAGGCGTGAGTCTCAGCTCTGCCACTTCCTGTGTGATCATGACCAGCCCCTTCTCTTTCGTCATCCTTCCAATGGAGCTGAATACAACCGCGTAGAGCTGAGGCAAAGTCTAGATGGTCTGTGGGTAAAAACGCAGCCAGGGACGGGTGCAGGAGATGCTTGGCACGGGCTGTATGCTCTGGTGGAGCCTGGCTATCCTTCCCCTCATCCCATCCTCAGGGTGCTGACTCCCGCTGTGTCCCAGAAGGCCCGGCCCCAGGGCTAGTCACATGGGTGCTCATCACTTACTTGACAGGCTTCCCGAAGGCCATGTTGTCTTCCTGTGGAAGGACAAGAGCAGAAGTCAGTGGAGGACCCGCATCTAGCCCAGCAGACAGACGTGATCAGTGGTGGAAGTGCAGTGACTAAGAAGGGGGTAGGTCAGGTGGGCAGAAGTGGGGTCTGGGCCCTGCTCTGGGGCTGGCACAGCATCTGAAGGGCCAGCAGCAGCTTTTCTGGGGGGAGGCAGCAGTGCGGCAGGAGTGCCCGGAGCGCGGCACCCAGACACCAAAGACTTGGAGTGCCAGCCACAAAGGCCCCTCTGTGTGGCTCCCAGGTAATTCTCTCACCCTCTCTGGCCCATCTCTGAGTGATCACAGGGAGGCAGTTTCCTTTGCAGTACAAATGACAACACCCTCTGACCTCCTGACCCGACAGTAGGGCCCACACGGGGCTCTTCCCTGTGTCTGGACTGCAGCCTGACTGCATCATTCAGGGCAGGCCTGGGGGTTAGGGAGGGGGCTGGAGAGGCTTCCGATGAGGGACATGTTTCACCCAAGCCCTAGACCTGCCACATAAGGGTAGGGGCAGATTCTGGGTTCAGAATCAGGAAGACCCAGCTGACGGAGCTGGTCAAAGATGAATTACCATAAAAATACATAAGAGTAAAAGACCTCTGTCATGTTAAGATGGTCATGACATCTATTAATATAACTAGGCTGGTACCATCACATCTCTTCATTCCAGCCTCTAATGGAGACGAAGCTGCACCCTGGCAATGGGTGGAGCACCTGGGGCTTGTCTGGAGCAGGCCCACTGTACCCATCTCGGGCACTTCCCAGGAAACAGACCTAAGAACACAGCTGGTTCATTCTATAAGCCCCACCCCCTCTTCTCTATGGCCACACCCAGGGAACCACATCAGCCTCCCCGGTGTCCCCACCTTGTGACTCCCACCTTCTGAAGGTCCAGAGATCTGGTTCCTGGATGGTCTGACTCTCCACTCTTGCCTCTAACCCCTACCCATGTCTTGGTACCCCAGGGGTGGGCAAAGGACTGGGTCAGTTACTTAAGAATCCTTCTGGCCACACTGCCCTCCTGGCCTGTCCTGGAGGCAAGAGAAGGGGGAAAGGGGTCAAACACTAGTGAAGAGCAGAGGGCCAGGGCCAGGACTGTCTGGTACCTGCATTCTCCCGGGCCTTGGGGAGACTGGAAAGCTGCCTCAGGCAAGACAGGCCAGCCTTCCACTGAAGCCTTGGAACCCACCAGAGGGGGGCAGAATGGGAACTCACCGAGACAAAGTAGGGGCCGGCAAAGTCCCGAATGACTCCTGTGGATGTGCAGATGCCCATGTGGCCGATGATGGGGAAAAACCACCTGTGAAAAAAGGGACAGGGAAGGGGCAGAGCTTAGGGGGTCTTTTGGCTGGTTAGACGCTGGGGACACTCCATCCAGTGTGAGAATATGTGACTATACTGTCATGCAATGAGTGCCAATTAGGGTGGCCGGGGGGCTGGGGAGGCACAGAAGAGGCACGAGTGCAAATGAACAGCACAATGGAATACCACTGCACCCCACAGAATGGCTAAACCCAAAGGACGGTAATACGGGGTGTGGGGAGGATGGAGGGCAACTGGAATTGTTTCTATTGCCTTCAAAAACTGGCAATTACTCTATGCCTCAGCAACCCCACTTCAGAGTGTACACCCAACAGAAACCAAAGCTTATTATGTCCGCCAATGCCACGTACAAGAAAACCCACAGCACCTTCGTTCAACATAGCTGGAAACAACATTTGTCAAAACTCACTGAACTGCACACTTAAAATGTATACACTTTATTGTATATATATTACATCCCAATAAAGTTGAATTTTCCCCGAAGTTTTTATGTAAATTCCAGCTAGTTAACATACAGTGCAATATCAGTTTCGGGTGCAGGATTTAGTGACTCATCACTGACATGCAACTGCTGGTGCTCATCACAACTGCCCTGCTCAATACCCGCAACCTGTTTAACCCACCCCATCCCACCCCCCAAGTAAAGCTGACTTTATTTATTTTATTTTTTTAAGATTTTATTTATTTATTTAATTGACAGAGAGAGAGAGAGAGAGAGACACAGAGTGAGAGGGAACACAAGCAGGGGGAGTAGAAGAGGGAGAAGCAGGCTTCCCGCGGAGCAGGGAGCCTGACGCAGGGCTTGATCCCAGGACCCTGGGATCAAGACCTGAGCCGAAGGCAGACGCTTAGCAACTGAGCCACCAGGCGCCCCAATAATGCTGACTTTAAAAAAACTAGAAATAATCCATATGTTCAACAATAGTAAAATGAATAAGTAAATTAGGGTATAGTAATGAAATGAAATAGTATGTAACAATGAACAAAGAACACACTTCTGCTACACACAACACATATTCTCACAGACATTAGGCAGTGAAAGAAATCTTCCACGAAAGTCCATGCATAATACTCTGCTTATATGAACTACAAGAAGAGGTAAAACTGACCTATGGTGCTCGAGGGCCAAAGAGGGGTGATTTCTGTGGCAGAATTAACTGGCACAAAGGAGCCCTTTAGGTACTGGAAATGCTATCTTCACCTGGGTGACATGAGTATATATACATATGCAAAAATTCACTGAGCCATATACTTAAGATTTGTCCACTTTACAGTGTATATCTCAGTAAAAAAGTTAAAAAAAAAAAAAAGTGAGGGGAGGCATTTAAACCAATCTGTGGGGTGCCTGGGTGGCTCAGTCGGTTAAGCATCTGCCTTCAGCTCTGGTCATGATCCCGGGGTCCTGGGATGGAGTACCGCATCAGGTTCCCTGCTCAGCAGGGAGTCTGCTTTTCCCTCTCCCTCTGCCTGCCGCTCCCCCTGCTTGTGCTCTTACGCGCTCTCTCTCTGTCAAATAAATAAATAAAATCTTAAAAAAACAAACAACAATCTGTGTGGGAGGGAAGGGTTTCAGGGAAGGCTGCATGGAGGAAATGAGGAAGTAACAGTAGGTAGAAGGATAAGGATAAGGACAAAAGCACGGTGTATTCCAGGAACTTAAAGTCCAAATTTTAAAAAAATCAAATCTCAGTTGGACCCCAATATGCAAAACATTTAGAAACCCCTGATCCGTCTATAGTTGAGAACCAGGGCATTACTGGGCCTAGGTGCTGAACAGACTGATCCGGTTTAAGGACTCACAGAGGGGGGTAAAAAGGACTCACTCCAGGGCCAGTGGCCAACTGCTGGTTTCAAAGCTGCACCCTGCTCGGGAGGGGGAGGCAAAACCTAGAGGTGCAGCTCAAGGAAGCAATCATTAGGGGCTGGAGAAGTCAGCAAAAACTTCACAGAGGAGGTAACTTTTAACCCTGACCCGTGAAAAGACACGATGTCATCAGGCAGAAAGCAGAACTCTGAAGCAGCCCAGGGCTGCATGTGTCTGGAGAACGTGAGGGGACAAGAGTGGAGGGAAGAGGGTGGCCAGTTCAGAGGCTATTCTGGAATACTGGCAAGAGATGATGGTGATCCTGACTACAGTATTGGTGGTAAGGTGGTGAGAAGCAGATGGATTCAAAAGATCCTTAAAAGGAACACTGGGTAGTTCTATGACCAATGGGAAAGAGGCCTTCCTAGGTCTGCTGCCCAGGCATCTGAAAGGATGGTGTGGCCAGAGTGGTCTCTTGAGAACATAATTCAGGTTCCATCATTCCCTTGCTTCACACCCATTGGCTTCCGGTTACACTTGAAATATACTTAAAACTCCTTCCAACAGTTTGGCCCTGCTTGTCCCTCGAAATCACCTCACCCCTCTTTCTAGCTACATTGCCTGCTTCTGATTCCTCAAACACACCAAATCTTCCCACCTCAATGCTCTTTTTCATTTGCATCCATCTGGAACACTCTTCCTCTAGAGCTTCACACAGCTGGCTGCTTCTCGTCATTTAGGCCTCAGCTTAACTGTCCATCTTCCCAGACCATGCCTTCTAGAGTAGCCACACACCACCCCAGGAAACCCAGATCTCATTACTCTGCTTTAATTTCTTCATAGTATCGACTACTATCTGAAATTAATCCTGTTTACTTACATGGTTACTGTCTGTCTTTCCCCACTAGTATGTAAACTCCAAGAGAGCAGGGATTTTCTTATTTATTATAGTCCCCAGAGCAGTGCCTGGCATGCAGCTGGAGCTAAGAATTCACTGACTGATAAATGATTAATGAATGAATATCCTGAATTTAAGAGTGGAGTCACGCTCTGAAGTCAGGGCTGGGTTGAGTCTTGACTTTGTTTGGGGCAAGTTACTCATTCCCAACTTTGTCAGTGAGATGTGGATAGTAATAATTACCTCAATGTGGGGGCTATTGTGAGGAGTAAACTGGCTATGCTTGCAAAGAGCTTAACACACTTCCTTGCATTTGGTAGTTGCTCAATGTTGTTACCATGAGGTGTTTGATAAATACTTGCTATCTAATTGGCTGGACTGGCATAGAAAATGTTGCTACAGAGCTACAGTGGCCACAGGATGGGCACTCAGAATTATGGGAAAGAAGTTCCTCTGGCTTCTCAGACCCTGATCTCAGAACACGCACCCCCCACCCCCGGCCTCCACCCCAGTTCCTTTCATCTGGTTGGGAGAAGGTCTGGGTTTGACCAGTAACCCACAAACCATAGCTGTGCCGGAAATCAGAGTAAAGTCTGGAGATAACAGCAGAGCCCTGAGCCTAGGGAAGCCACAGAGAAGAAACTCTCCAAGTATTTGTCAGTCTGGAAACTCCATGAAGGCAACCTCCAAAGCTGCTTTGTGGACTGCTGTCTACTCAGACCTAGTACATAATAGATCCTCAATAACTATTCAGAGAAGGAAGGAAGGAAGGAAGGGAGGGAGGGAGGGAAGGAGTTACTTCCTTCCCTGGAGAGCTCTACCTGGTAAGGTAGACTGTCTCAGTGGAAAGAGCCCCACGCTGGCTTCTAAGCCTTTATTTCCTCATCTACAAAATGCGGATGACAGTATCTATTTTCATTAGGTTGACATAAGGACTGAATAAGATAATGAATACAAAATGTTTAGAATAGAGTCCAGAACAGAGTACGTATCCAATCTTAGCTGCTTTTATGAGTAGCAGTAGCCATTATCTGGCTTTTCACGCAGAATTATCAACATCTCTGAGGGGGTGGACAGATCTTTGGATTCAGTTGTCTCCTCTCTGCTCCCCTTTCCAAAGACAGATGACAGTTCCTTGTGCCACATCTATTCCTAGCTCTGCACTCTAGGTCAGCAATCATCATGATGCACTACGATGGTTAGTTCATCTGTCTCCCCTTCCTGCTGGAGGTTTGACAGGGGGGCTACGGCTTATTTATCTTATGAACACATGCACATAGATGCCAACAGAAATGGGGTGTGAGCTGCTCCTGGCCCAGTTGACTGGGGATCATGGTGCCTCCACCTCATGTTGCTATCAGCTCTCTGAAGAGCAGAGGACTCTATGAATGTGGTTTTTTTTTTTTTTAAGATTTTATTTATTTATTTGACAGAGAGATAGAGCGAGAGAGAGGGAACACAAGCAGGGGGAGTGGGAGGAGAAGCAGGCTTCCCGCCGAGCAGGAAGCCTGATGCGGGGCTCGATCCCAGGACCCCGGGATCATGAACTTGAGCTGAAGGCAGACACTTAACGACTGAGCCACCCAGGCGCCCCTATGAATGTGTTTCTGAGAACAGGGAAAAACCAAAGAGATCTTAAGGAAAGAGACATGTTTTTAGTAAAACCGATACATTCCCTGACTATCCCTTCCAGTTATTCTCACCTTAACATTTTTTCTTCATAGCACTAATCACTATCAGAAATTCTCTTATTAGCTTACTTGTTTACTGTCTATCTCCTTTCACCAGGATTTAAACTCTATGACAGCAAGGATATCTGCTTCATTTGTCACTTTATATCTTTATCACTTAGAACTCCTCTGGGCACAAAGGAGTCACTTAGCAAATGTGTTACAAGAACACTGAATGAATGAATGAATGAACACACTTTCTTAAAATTTTTATTTTTAAAGGATTCAGACTTGGATGCTTTTAAATAAGTGCATAAGTATTTGAAAACACAAGCAAGCGAAGTATATTTTAACATAATACAAAAATTAAAGTCATTTTTGGATCATCAGCATGTAAGGCCAAAAAGATGGTCCTTTCTCCACACCACTTGGCTATTTATGATAGAGGGAACCAATTTATCTCATCAGGTGAGGGGAGGTCGTCAAAAGAGAGCATGTTATGGAGTCAGAAGACTGAGTTTGGGATGCCTCTCCTCATTGGCATGTGAACCTGACCAAGACCTTTAATGGTACAGAGGAAGCTCAGCTTCATCATCTCAGAAATCCCTACCTTAGAAAATGACTGTGAAACTCAGAGAAAACAGGTGTGAAAGAGCTTGGCCAATTGTCCAGCACTGTGAGGGTTGTCAGGGCTGAAGTAGGAGAGCAAACCAGCTTCCCTGACCCAGGAGCTCCTCCTCCCTAAAAGGCAGCCGGACTACAGGAGCACCTGCTCTCTCCTGACAAAGGACGAGGCCATGGAAGGAACACTGCTTTGGGAGGCAGACATTCTGGGACCTAAATTCGCTTTAGAACTGAAATAGTGTGTGATCTCCAGCCTCATCATCCACGAGACAAAGGGTTGGACTCCCAGATGCCTGGGGGCCTTTTCAATGTTGACATCTCAGGAGGCAGTGTGGTCCCAGCCACACTCCCACTCCCGCCTCTGGACTCAGTCTTGCGTATAGAAGTGATCAGCAAGCATTTGCTCAATGAATGAATAAAGCCCTGAATGAATGAAGAGGTCTCCTCAGACCCGGTGAGGGGCCCCTCTTCCGTTCGCCCACAGGTCCTGCGCTTCCCAGCCACAGAACCTTTTCCGCCGGTCTACAACTGTCTTTCTCCCTGACTAGACCAGGTGTCATGAGGGCGAGGAGCGTGTCTCATCCGTCAGCAGAAATTGGCACCGCGTAGGTGGCGGGGTTCTGGTGACTGGGCGAGGGGTGCGGGCCGGACCCGAGGGAAGGGCTTGCAGCACGTCGAAGCCGGAGGCTGGCCCGGGGCCGCCCGACTCTCCCCGTCCCCGGGCGGAAGCCGGGGGAGACTCACGTGAGCACCGGGATGGGCGTCCACACCACGCAGTAGGGAAAGCGGCTCCGGTCCACGTCCATGGCGCTGCTGCCCGAGCCGCTGAAATGCTTCTTGTCCGTCTCGGCCGCCGTCGGCGCCTCCACTTCCGCCATCCCCGGCGGGGGCGGTGGCGGCGGCGGCAACAGGAGCGGCGAACTCCCTTCCGCTTCCGCCATGCTGCGCGCGCCCCGCTCCGCCCGGCCCCTGCTCCAGCGCCGCTCGCCCCGTGGCGTCACTTCCCGGAGGTGGGGTCCGCCGGCTTCGCCTTCCCCCCGGGAATTGGGGCCGCGTCCCTCCGGGCCGGGCCTGCCTGGCCCCCTGCCTCGGCGCCGGCTGACCCCCCGTGTTTGCGCCCGCACGGCAGCGCTGAGGAAGGGATGCCCTCAGGCAGCGCGCAGTCTAGCGCGAGAGATTGACCGAGAACTTCGTAATTCAGTACGCTGAGGCCTCCCAAGAGGTGTTGTACAGTCGCTATTTATTGAGCGCTTCCTAGGTGCCAAGCATTTGACATACATTGTTTTTAATCCCCATAGACTGGTTCGACATGCGAATTTAGGTATTTTCCCCAGGTTACAAGTGAGAAACTGAGGCTCAAGAGATGAGGTGAGTGGCCACGACTCAAACCCAAGTCTGTGTCCCTTGTCCTTTCCCTCCTGTGGTCTCTCATGAGGTAGTGGTAGTGGAGAGGAAGGACAGGCTAAAATGCTGTGTGTTGTGCGTGTAAGCAGGGGAGACTTGCCCGGAGATATTTGAGCTGTCTTGATGTTGGCCAGGTGGCACGGGGGTGGGGGTGAAGGGATGCGTGCAGCCGTGCAAAGCAAGAAAAGGCTTTGCAGAGCGCAGTGTGCAGGAGTGTGAATATCACCTTGGTTGGAATAAATCTCAAACCTTAGATTGATCCGATCCCTTCATTGTGCAAATGGAAAAACAGGCTCAGGGAAGTTCATTAATTGTCCGAGATCACACACAACCAACATAAAGCAGGCAGGCTTAAATCTTGGATTCTTTGGGCTTTTTAAAGGATGCCAAGATAGCCAAAGAAAAGGGAATCCGCTGGGATGGGAAAGGGAAATATGGGGACAAGAAGGAGGTAGGGACAAAATCAGAAAAATGCGAACTGTGCCTTTTAGGGAACGTCTTTTTTTTTTCCATTGAATTACCCTCCCTCAACGCTGATCCATAGAAAGCCTGCTGTCCTGTTTTTAGCACTTAATATTTTAATGCATTTTGGGGGCAAATGTCTGTTATGGAACTCTAAGCTCCTTGACTTCAGTAGCTAGCATAGCTCCTAGTACAGAGCAGATGCCCACTGGATGTTTCTTGATTTAATGATTGAGTGGATGTTTTATAAAGGTCTTCCAGATATCACAGCTGAAAATGATTCTAACCTATTCAAAAATTTTTGAGTAGGTTTGTGCCTCTCCTGTGACCCATGTGTAGTGTATAATCCTTGCAGAACAACAACCAGCATCTAGCACAGTTTGGAATAGATTAGGTGTGCAGTATGCTTGTTGAATGAATAAATTACATTACTTCTTGATTCAATCATGATAATCTCTTCCAGACCACAGGCTCTGAGGAGGGTCTTTGCCTTAGATATTCCTCCATCATCACTGTCAATCCATAATTCTAGCACAGGGCTGGTGGGTGCCCTTTAGTCATTTATTGTATATATATTGATGAATAAACAACCAAAGTAAGTCTTTCTTAGGGTCTGCCACAAATTTGGTAGTACTAACACAAGTACCACCTTTACTCTGACAACCTTCAGTGGCTTCTCATTGTACTTAGGATAAAACACAAATATCTTACCATGGCTTACAAGGCCCTGCATCTTGCCTTTTTTCTTACTTGTCCACTGCACTACAGCCACCCTGGCCTCTTTTTCAGTTCCTCTCATGTGCCACACTCTTTCATGCCCCCAGGGACTTGGCTTACACTCCTCTGCTGAATGTTCCCCACCCCCTTAAACTGGCTAACTTCTATTTATCCTTCAAGTCTCAGGTTAAATGTGGCTTTCTCAGAGAGTCCTTCCCAATCTAAATCAGAAAGCCTCTGCGAATCTCCCTTGGGACATCCTGTTCTTTTCCCTCATAGCACATTTGTAGCTATGTATTGTTGGATTCTCCCACTAGGCTGGAAACTCCTTGAGGGCAGAGACTGTACTTGCCTTGTTCACTTCTGTAAACCTAGTGTCTAGTAGTGTCTAGTACATAGTATCTGCTTGATATTTGCAAAAATGAATGAATGGCATACACTTACAAGCTTGGTATCATATGCTGGCTACACACAGTCCGAGGGCAGGAGCCCAGCTTATCACTGCTATCTCTTGGTGTCCCAAGCTTTTTTAAGGGGCCCATAGAGGTTGCTGGGCACAGTGCTCACGAGTTGTGTCTGATCAGAGATCCTTAGCTCCTTGGCTTAGGCAGCTACAGAAGCAGAGGCATGAAGACGGCCAGGTACTTGGAGAAAGAAGCCAGCTCCTCTGACTTCCCTGGGGCCTCTCTCCCAGGCTTCTCCCCCTGCCACCCCTCAGCCTGTCCACACGGCCCCCCCTCATATGCACACATCACCTGGGTTTTCTCACTCAATGTAAAGCCTCCCTAGCCTGTGCCTTGCCTCCTCCGCTGCTGCCACCTCTATCACCCACAGACAGATGGGAAATCTCCATCAAAGACCAACACTTCCTTCCAGGCTCAGAGGATCACAGCAGGGGCCTGGAAGAAGCTCCTCTAACAGACAGCTCAGGAAAGGATTGATAGGACTCATAGCTACCCCTCCCCTCAACACACACACCAACCTAAAATAGGAATGACCATCTGGATCCACTTACAGGGCTGGCTGGGGGAGGGAAGGATAGTAGAGCCGGAACTGTCAAGCTGGGAAATCTTCGAGGGCAAGATGCTGCTTGTTTGAAGGGTGAACTCAGGGCATGTTCTCTTGGTGGGAGTCAGGGCACCCCCTCCATTGGCCCCATTTATGAGTCCCCATGGCTCACACACCACCTGCCTCAGACTATCTCACTCATCCTGGCGTTCAAGGCCCCCATGGTCTGACTCTAAACCCCATCCTACTTTACAAGCCTCAGCTTCACTGTCTCCCTCTGGACTTGCTTGGAGTTAACCTCACTGGGCTGTTTGCCCTTCAGAGAATGATTCCTGCACTTCATACCGCCTGTCTTTGCTCACACTGTTCCTTCAGTGGAATGCCCTTCCCCTACTCTCCTATACTACTTTCAAGGTTTCTGGCAAATGTTCCCTCTTTGCTCCCAGAGCACGAAGGCTGTGTTTCTACCTATTGAATATTCATGTGTACTTGCATTAGCATTAGCTGTTTACATGTCTGTCTCCCCTGAGGGACTGTGAACTCCTTGAGAAAGGGTCTGACTGGATCTATTGGTCCCTGTAGCCAAGCACAACCCCCGGCAGATAGGAAGTGCTCAGGGAATGTCACTGTTGCTATTTGTTGATCATGGCTGGTCTCCTTAAGGGCTCTGGGGAAGAATCACCTCAATCAATAACCCAGGGAAGCAGGGCCCAGCCAGGGGCGGTCACCGCTGCAGGCTGGAGTTGCTGTTGGGTATCATGCAGTGTGTCTGGAGTGTGTGAGGGCAGAGTCCTCACTTCTTCAGCCTTTCTGCTTCTGCTCCATTTATTACGTTCTTTGGCTCCTGGAGATTGGGATTCTCCCCTTTAAGCCCTGAACTGTATTCCAGGATGGCTCCAAACTTTTCCACGGTAGGGAGGGGACCATTTGAGAACAGACACTCTGACTCTTTGGACATTAGTTTACAAAACGACTTCCTTCTCTGTTCCGTTTTATCGATGGGCAGACTCGCCCAAGATTATTGAAAGCACAGCTAGGACCAGAATCTAAGTCTCCTACTCCCAGGTGGGCAGCAAAGCATGACGGTTAAATACGTGAACTCTCTGGAGTCAGCCAGCAAGCCCAGTGTTTCAACCTAAGCTCTGTCAGTGGTTGTAATACCTTAGGAAAGTAACTGAGCCTGTTGGCATCAGTTTCCTCATATCTAAAATGGGAAACGATAATTCACATAGAGTTCTTGTAAGGTTTATTTGACCGGCTATGCCTGAACAGTTTCTGGCCCCAAATAAACACTCAATGTTAGCTATTGTAGTAGTGAAAAGCACCCATCACAATTGTAGAACGCTTACTCACTTAAAAAGCACTTGGATGCACATAATCTCACTATGATTTGGGGCCTTCTTACAATGTAGTGAAATAACCAGAGCAGGTATCAAAATACCCATTTTACTGATGAGGGAAATGAGCCCATAGAGGTTCAGGAACTTTTCTGAGATCTAAGCACATATTAGATAGTTGGGGTTTTGAGCCTCGACCCTGGCTTTCTCTGCTGGTGAGCCCTCTTAGGTCTACTGAAGAGTGATAAGGCTGAGAGCAGCCTGAGATTCGGTAAATCACCACAAAATAGGTGCCAACTATAGCCTCACTAGGACCAGGCTATTTTATATATAAAAAAAATGAGTCGAGAGGAGGAGGCAGAACAAGACCGAACAGTAGAGTACCCTATGCCTGCCATCATGTCCATCAGAATGCTTTCCTCCCACATCACCCCTGCCAGACACAGAGCCTGGCAAACGGTGGGGCACTCCATGGCAGAATGTACAGGGGAGGACTCATGATTCCCAGTGAATCCAATGCTCAGGGACCACGCACAATCCGCATTTCTATCGCACGTCTTCCAGATAATGTGGAGGTTCCAGGAGATCAGGTATTAGTCTGTTGTGTGCACTTTCATTAAGCCAGTGCTAGGCACAGAGGAGGAGCTCAAAAAGGATCATGACATTTAAGTAAGAAAATTATTTTTAAAGACTTGAACTAGGAATCAGAGATTAGGGATCCAGTCCTGGTTTTGCTTCTAACTCACTGGGTTCCTTGGACAGCCCATCCCCTTTTCCTGCCCCTCTTTGGAACTCCTTGTCTCTCTTCTGAAAATGTGGAGTTTAGGGCTAGATCAGTGATCCTCAGCTCTGGCCATACTTAGAATGAATCTGGGATGCTTAAAAATAATGGATGGATGCCTGGGTCCTATCTCAGATCAATTAAAACAATCTCTGGGGTGGGACACTGGTAGTTTTTAAAGTATCTAGGTGAGGGGCTCCTGGACGGCTCAGGTCATGATCTCAGAGTCCTGAGGGCTCCATACTGAGCATGGATGGAGGCTGCTTCAGATTCTCTTTC